CTTTCCAGCTAGAGTGAATTTCCCTTAATGTACATTCCCGAGGGAATAGAAGACATGGGAGATTTACATATCCAGGAGACTACTGAGAAGTTTGACTATTTGGACAACTGTTTTATTATTACAGAACTCCTTTTAGCAAATATTAGATTAATCAGCATCTCTTCACACTTCGACACAAAGCCTTTTCTTCTCAGCATTAGTGTTCCTTCAATGCTTACATTTAGATAAAGAAACAGTTTATTTGGATGGACAGATAGACAAGCAGACACGTTTTTTCAAGTGGTTTGGTCCTACTCAACACCTTTCTCTCTTAATGACATCAACAAAAATTATGTATGTTCAGTATTTACAGGAAACAAATACTTGTTGGACAAATGGTAGAGACCAGGGTTTTGTATTAGGAACAGTTGCTTGATTTTAATTGGACTGAATAAAGGTAAGAGCATTGATGAAGCAGACTTCTCTAAGGCATTTGTCTTGCTGTTACATGACATGTTGATTAAGTATCTAGAGTGATAGAAAATTAATGTGATATAAAATTAAAACTTCACTATCTGGCATGTCTGAAATATAATTGTAAATGGGCAATCATTATTAAGCAGGTATGTTTCCAAGAAAGTCCTGAAGGTATTGATTTTTGGCCTTATGCCACCTAAAATTTTTATTACTGACTTGGAAGAAAACAAAGAGCACAGAACACCAGTGATAAAGCTTGTAAAAATTTGAGAAGAGGAAGTAATGAACATGTAATGTGGATGGTTAAGTTCATGCTACAGGGGTATCTGCACTGTTGGTAAACTGGGTTTAAGCAAACAACTTACTTTGCAGCACAGTAACATGTAAAGTTATTTTTCTAGGAACAAACTATTAGTCACAATTGCAGAACAGGACTTCTATCTGGGAAGCTGTATGATGGATCCTGAGCTGAATCTGAGCTGTGTCCACCCATGTCCAATAGCACGAAAGCAACTCTTAGATGAATAAATAGAAGTCTCTAGTAGGGAAATTACATTCCTTACTGAGCAGCCACTGCTTTAACTGGAATCCACAAGCACCTACACTTGGAATGCCCATTTCAAACTGAAAAGTTCCTTCATTCTAACTGAAACATATTTACTTGACAGTCTGACTGACAGACAGACTGCCTTTTGCTGTATAAGCAATTTTTTTAGTCCTGTTTGAGGGGTAAGGTGGCTCTTTCTGAGTTGCATTCGTAGGCTCGTGTCATTTTTTATGATGATGATCACTTACTGCCTTGTGACAGCACAAAGGGAATTGGAAATGTAAAGGATCTGGACACTGACGAATTGGAGATATGCAATGTACGGAGCCTACTGGTACCGGTAGAGTGGTGGAAAGAAAAGAGTTTGGGAATTTTTTGTCTTGCACTACTGAGAGGTATAATAGGATCTAATGTCTGCAAGTGATTTGTAAGCAAAGATTGGATGTTTTTCTAGGCAATATACTCCAGTTTAAACAAGAATTAATCCAAGAAAGACATCTAATGTGTATTCCAAAGGCGATCAGAAGAGATTATCACAATAGTCCATTCTGCTTTTATAATCTGGCCTTAAATACAGAAGCATTTTAAAAATAACTCAAGATTGGACATGAAGCAGTAACATGCCCTTATTATTCTTTGACTGTTGCTTGGAGTTGAAGAAAATACATATTGATTGTTAATTCTGAAATTGTAAGTAGTCTGAATAAAACAGTGTTATAATTATTTTTTCTCTAATATGCATGATAACAGAAAAAAAGCCACCTCAGGTCTTTTTAAAAATCAAATATTTCACTAAATAAATACAAGAAATAATTAGATTGCCATGTGAATAAGGACTTTGCCTGAAATTCCATTCTGCCTTCATTTGGATGTATTTTAGTTCTTTTACCTTGGTTTTGCACCAACTTCCCCCTAACTGTCAAAGTGTCTGCTAATTTCAGGCAAGCACTACTGTGGTCATCAGTAGACTCCTAACAATGCTTTTGTAGGGACAGAATATAATTGCAATATTCTTTATACTTGTACGGGCTTATGGAATAATTCAAGTCTCACTGCAATATTCACTACTTGCAAACACAGATGTTAAGACTGCAATGATAACCACTGTATCCGAACAACCTGTTAGCACAGTCAGTTTCAGAGAAAGGCAAATGTTTATAGGTCAGATCCATTCTGCAAAACAACTTTCCATCTGCATAGTTCTATGTTCCTAATGCATGATGACAAAAATTTCTCATCTGTTTAGGTGTATTCAGTACAAAGAGGAGTAATTTTATGGTGGAAGTCTGAAAGAATACCAAAAATATTTCAAGTGACAAAAATACTATATTTATTTGATTAGCGAGGCTTTCCTGATCAAGCTCCTCCACTCTCTTCAAGACTTCTCTTCTTATTGGACAGAAATTATCTCTTCTTTTGAGGTTCCGTGTGGTTTACGTCATGCCATTGCTGAAGTTTGTATATGATTGTAGAAATTAATACTCTCTTAGTGCAAAGACGTAAAGGTAGGTGAGTAGAACAAAGAAAGAATTAAGATTACATAGGCAATCTTAAATCTGACACTTCCTATTGACTGAATTCTTCATTTGCACTCAACTCTTTTAGCCTTCATTTTTATGTCTGCCACTTCCTTTTCTAAAAAGCAAATAGAAAAAAGAAGAAAGTCCATCATTTATAAAACTATACTGCTCTGTCCGTAGTCATTAGCAAGGCTGGGGTCTACAAATCCATCCTTAGAGCTCTGCCAGTGGAGCTATCAAAGTCTGTCTGGTTCAGCCCTCTCCCTCATACTTGCAGCCCCTTGGTTTATCTGTTCCCTACTTCTTCAAATCTCTCCTTTTGTCCCACCCCTCCTACCCTGCATAGCTTCAGCTCCTTGCGCAGTTCATTAAGTGCAGATCTTCCTTTATTTACCAGTCTCTTCAGCAAGTTTCCATACTTGGTCCCAGCATCTTGTCAGACCCTGATAGCTACCATTCTGGTTGCTACTTGTACCCTCTTTGACCAGCCAGCCCCATCTCTTCAGTGTCCCCAAGCTTCATCTCACTCTGCCCTCCATTTGTCAGCTGGCTCTCACCAGTCTCTTGGCCCCATCAATCCTGGTCATAATTTTTTTTATTTCATCTCCCACTTTCATGCTTCCCGTCTTTCCTTTGGCCTAGCCTGTTTCCTGTCTTTTTTTCCATTCATGTCAGACAAACCATCCCACACTACCCTTCATGCTGCCTTCTTGCTGAGGAGAAGCTGAGTACCTGAGGGATCTGGCTTTGGGCTTTCTGAAACAGGGAGCTGGTGGAGCAAAACTAGCAGTCTCGAGAATGTACCAGTAGCCCTAATCACAATAAAAGTATACCAGCAAGAGAGTGAAAGTGAAAGGAGAAGCAATATGGTGCTCTATACAACATAATTTGATCTTGATCCTGCACTTGGGTCACAACAACCCCATGCGACGCTACAGGCTTGGGCAAGAGTGGCTGGAGAGCTGCCCGGCGGAAAAGGACCTGGGGGGTGCTGGTTGACAGCCGGCTGAATATGAGCTGGCAGTGTGCCCAGGTGGCCAAGGTGGCCAACAGCGTCCTGGCCCGTATCAGAAATAGTGTAGCCAGCAGGAGTAGGGAAATGACTGTGCCCCAGTACTGGGCACTGGTGAGGCCACACCGCGAATATTGTGTTCAGTTTTGGGCCCCTCACTACAAGAAGGACATTGAGTTGCTGGAGCGTGTCCAGAGAAGGTCAATGAAACTGCTGAGGGGTCTGGAGCACAAGTCTTATGAGGAGCAGCTGAGGGAACTGGGATTGTTTAGCCTGGAGGGGAGATCTTGTCACTCTCTACAACTACCTGAAAGGAGAGTGTAGCAGGTGGGTGTTGGTCTCATCTCCCAAGTAACAAGTGATATGACAAGAGAAAATGGCCTCAAGTTGCACCAGGGGAGGTTTAGATTGGATATTAGGAAAAATCTCTTCACTACAAGGGTTGTGAAGCATTGGAACAAGCTGCCCAGGGAAGTGGTTGAGTCACCATCCCTGGAGCTATTTAAAAGATGTGTAGATGCAGTGCTTAGGGACATGGTTTAGTGGTGGACTTGGCAGTGCTAGGTTAATGGTTGGACTTGATGATCTTGAAGGTCTTTTCCAACCTAAATGATTCTGTGATCCAGTGATTCTATGTTCTAAAAGGTAAGCAACCAGACTTTGAATTAACATTTCAGGACCTGCTCCTACCTCTGTCACATCCCTCATAAAATCTTGTGCAAGTCCTGTGGTGCCAGGTTCATTAAAAACACATATATTCTGATGTAAAACACACTAATGCTCAGCTTTCGGTCCCTAGTATCTGCAACTCTATGTCAGGCAGTTAGGCTTTATAACGAGCACATTAGGAGAGAGACTTCAGAGACAAAGACAATGTGAATATCAGAAACATGAAGCATTTGAAAATTCAACTTTTCTCTCAAAATTTAAGGCCATTTTCTCAATATGTCTGTACGTTAATTTCATTATTGACAAAATAATAACTATGACCACCTTGTGAGTGTTGTAAAGCATACCTCACTTACGCTTTCCTAAGATACCTCTAGAGAAATAGTTTTCTGAGTGCAAAGCACAGCTATGATTATGAATGAGATTTTAAAAAATCTCTTTTAAAAGAGAAGAGAGGTCACAAAAAGAGATGGATAATATAATGAGTAGCTGTAAGTATCAACCCCTTAGTCAGATTGTTTGTCTATCTGCTGTTTTAGAAAGCCTGTTTACTGCTGTAGTCAAAAGCTGAAAAGCTGTGGCAGATAGCAGATGTACCAATTAATAAACTGTCAAGGCTGATGGATAGAATGAAAAAAAAAAGATCTCACATATATCTCCTGTGTGGTTTTTTTCCCCACATTTCAGGTCATTGGGGTCATGAAATACACTCTGCCTCCCTGGAGAGAGACAAAACTGTCTCATTAGCGTCTATCTTTCATGACATTAAGACGCTGCCTTTGAGATGCTAACTCACCTGTTCTTCTCCCAGAATCCTGAAGTGATGAAGCTCTTTAATCAAGGAGTCTGGACAGCCAGCTGTTGGAAAGAAACAAAAATAGGCATTTTAGAGCTTCCTGTTAGTGCAGTTTCAGTATAAGATACATAGATGCACAGGGCATAGAATATACAGATTACCTTAAAATAAAGAAGATTAGAAAGATTAGCCACGGTTCTGCAGGCACCGGAACGCTAAAAATAATCTATCAAATAATCCTTCCACATTTCTGAGCATGATATCAAGAACGCTTAGAAAGGTTATATTATGAATATTTTAGCCCTTTCCCCAAAGGACTACAAACAAAAGCAAGATGAAAAGGGCAGCCCTGTCTGCCAGATACTGCCAGCCCCTTGGTGTAAGCCAAAAAGGCTGTTAGAGGATCTCACATCAAAACCTTGGAACTGCCCAAAGCTGAATTCTGATTCACACACCAGGTTTGGACTCATTTTTAAGCGTAATAGAGGCTTTCCCCGATTCCCTCGTGGATTTCACAGGCTCTGCAGGCCCCACAGATCACTTCAGTTTTGGCTGTCACAAATATAATCCATTTCACAAATACGTAGTTGTCACCCACAGGTGTAATACACAAAACAACTACGCAGGCAGGGGAGTGATTTGCAGAACTTTGCAATCAGATTAATGTTCAATTGCTACAGACTTTCACATCTGTACCAGCCAGTAAGAAGGAATATGTCTTGCTACATGCCATGCACTTTCCCAACTTGTTCAGACTGTGATTACCTTCCTGGTGATGAAATCCAAGGCTGCTACACACTTTTGTACACTGCTAGACTAATTTCTGTGAAAGCAATCTGGGCTTTATTCTTCTTACCATAAATTGAAGCATCTGTTTGTGAAGAGAGAAAGTTCCTTTTAAAGAATTAAGTGTATAGTTCTTCCCAGAACATGGGAGGAACTATGATTTTTATCAACATGTTTTTCTGCTGATGCAACTACAAATAGTTACTTCTCACCCTTAATGACTGCCATTAAAAGTATGCAAATGAATTGGGAGACAGTTGTCAGGAAATCTCCATCAGCACCATGGCTTCACTCACAGCCAATGAGGCATGACCTACACTCACGACTTCTGTTGGCATAGCTGTGGTAGGGATGCAACGGAAAAAGCCTTTATACTTGTAACCGACACAACTACAAAAGGCAAAAACCCTACTATGGACACAATTATACTAGTACAAGGGAACTGATTTAAATGATACTCAAATCATCTTCTTGCTGGTAAATACTTTATCACCATTTAGAAGAGGTACAGGTGCAGAATGCACCATCAACACAACCTCATCAGCAAACCCTTTTAAAGGTAGTCAAGGTTTAAGGCGGCCAAGGTTTAGGCATGTGGTAATAATTATGTTTAGGCATGTGGTAATAGATTGTCTCTTACTAAATATTACTGTTTCTTCCCATTTAATAAAACCTGTGATATCCACGTAGGCTTCTTTCCACTCACCTATTCCCTCTCCTCACACACACGGACATTCACATATTTGAATGTGTGAGTTTTAGCTCTGAGTGATTCCTTCTTAATGGGTTTTTAGTCTCCTCATCTTCTAGGACCACAACCCCTGTATCGCTTTTAATTCTTCTCTCCTCATTTCCCTCATACTTGCGCTGTCACTGTTTATTCTATTTCTTGTTCTCAATGGACTTAAAGTCATCTTTTCTACTTCGACCACAGAATCACTGCTACGGAGCATTTTTCTGTCCATTTTCACTGGGATTTACATCTTCCAAGTCATCCAAACTCTGAATGTACCAACTGCTTTAAAAGTCTCACTAGCTTCTTGACCTGAGGCCAGACATTGTAGCCCAGAGCTGTTGACTTCTCTGTGTTTCAGGTCAGAACTTACTGCATACAACACGGTTCCTCTCTCTTACCCTCAAGACCTTATGTAATCATTAATTTTTTTACGTATTTAATTTTTCCTCAAAATATCTGCATTGATTGTACACTGCTATAGGAATTTATAAGCGTAGAGGATAATTATGATTTCTTATAATACTGTGTGTTAATCTTTGACAGATGTTAGCTTTGTAACACCAACTAAACTGCTTTCTGCTTGTCTCTTCTTTTTTGCAGGATTTACAGCTGCTTCTTCAACCAATCATTTCTTTCTCCCCTCTTATCCTTTCCAATTTACTATTCACTAAATCCCTTAAGATCGGGAAGTTTCCTTTTTCTTCCTTAGCAAGAACTTTTTCTCTTTCCATTCTCCTTGAAATCATATTTCCTGAATGCCTGTTTCTCCCAGAAATCCATCCCATTCTGCCCTCATGCATAATTTATATAATCTCCCTTATGTGAACTGCTTACATGTATCCTCTCTTTCTTCCATGTAAGAGACTATAAAGACTTTTTAACCAAGGATCTTTGTAAAAAAAAAAAAAGTGTAAAAGTATGAAGAGATATAGACATATATATAAACATGTATATGTTTATTTTAAGTGTTACTCGTTGGCCATTGCTTCATCCTCTTCCGAGTAGAATATTGTGTATAGCCTATATTTCAGAAACTTGCCCGATCTAGTTTTTAGTGTTTACATAGTCCAGACTTTCACTGGATCTTGAAAGCTGATTATATAAGAGATCCTGCAGTTACTAGTAAAGAAGGAGGAGTGAGAACTTAAAGACCATGTCACTGTTGGCAAGATGCCTTCCAGCAACGAGTTCAGAAATGTCAAATGCATGCAATATTGAATTATACTGACACGCATTAACAGTCTGCTATAATAAGTCCTTTCAGATCTTCACATCGCAGAAGCAATAATTTGAAAAAACAATGGAAATCATTGTTGCCAAATGAGAATTTGAGTAAAAAATGGAAATAAAGAAGAAACATGGAAAACAAAATAAGTAACATTTTCCTTTCATTGTTGATATTTCTGTATGTATTTCTGATATTTCTTATTTCTACTTCACTTTCTTCTGTTCTATAAGAGGACCTGTGTAAAACATGCTCCAATGCTGTGACCCATTTTAACCAAATATCTGGGAGTTTTGAAAAAGATGATGTTAATTTCCTGCACTGTCACTAGAGACAAAGGCTACAGACAAATAACCATTCCATAAATAAAAAGAAGAGATTAAAAAATACCTATTCTGCTGAAGAGCATTAAGAACTACTTGTCATCTCACCCACAAAACCACCCATATAACCATCAACATACTCATATATATACAAACACACATGGTGACTTGAAAATTATTACAAGTTAAGCACAGCACACAACAGGTTCAGTGTTGCCAAGGTTCGGTGGCAAAGTGTACACACCAAAGCTTAGAAGAAAAATGTATTTTCTAAGTCTCTGATGTGCACCTAGCACTTGCCACGCGAAATAAATAATCTGCGCTTTACAGGTTTCTGCTATTTTGTGTAGAACACTTTGAGGATTAGTTTTTATGGCCTGTGTAGTACAGAAACCCTTCTAATCAATAGTCTCAACAATTACTGAAACTTTCCATTTCCCTTTTTCCAATTATTACTTGAAAAAGCACAGGCATACATGAAAATTCCACAGACATAAACCAAACCGTAGGAATATCTAAATAAATCAATCAATAACAATTACACATTAGAGTGTTAAAAGAAAACTATACAAAAGCCTGGACAATTGCCTTTAGAAGCTAAATCTCAGGAATGAGGACATTTGCAGACTGATAAAATGACAGCTAAAGTGTTCAATAATTCCCTCTTTCAACTGACATTCAAACCTATGTATTTCATATGTTCTTGGCTACAATGACTGTTACAAGTTTTTGCCTGCTGTGGAGGCAGAGCAAGATGTAAGAAATAAAAAATTGATGCAAATCTTCGGTATTTGTATACCACTTTTTCCTTTGACATAGCTCCATTGACCTCAAAGCAGTAAGACCCATAAAACTAATGTGATGGCTTAGGAATGAACCTGCGTCTAAGCAGGAAACTAAATTATGAAGGGATGATATCCAGTTCAAAGCACCAGCATCTTTATAAACTCACCACAAGTAATTTCTTTGCTTCTGTTTAAGCATTTATTACTGAAACTAAATTTAAGCATATTACTTGCTTCTAAATGTTCCATCATACCCCAGATTACTTGCTTGAATGATTTTGTTGTTGCTTGATTCTCATGTTGCTTCATTATTTAACTGCAAACGCTGCACTTATGAATGAAAGGTACATTCAAAGTTACAGATATTTGCAACTGTAAATTTACAATTTACATTGTTGTATTCTCTTCATAAAGGTATAAATATATTTTAAATCTGTTCATATAAGAATATGTATCTCCAAGAGAAAAGAAGCAAAATTTAGGAGGATAGTTTAATGTTTCCTAACATCATAAATCCCTTGATTTGAACTGGTCTGACCATACATTTTCAGTTACTATGATTCTAACTACTACCAATTTAATTACCCAAGTCTTCACTTATTTTTTCTCAGACAGAATTAGCTTCTGGTTTTGTTTTTGGTTAAAATTATCACTTTGTAAGACTTATGCTGTCCACTAAGAAGGCAATGGAGAAAATAAACTAACTCTTTAGTATTGCATAAACTGGAAAAATGAAAGCAAAAAATGACTGCTGTTACAAATAGAGCAGACTGAGAACCAGCGCAAGTGCCAAGGCCCTGATGGCACCAGCAGCCCTGACTGTCACTGCCCTGCCCCTCTGGGCTCCCCATGGCCCAGGACCCCATGTCAGCCCCCAGGGCCGTCAGCCCCTGCCCTAGCGATGCCACAGCAGGGCTGGTCTCCAGCTCCCCTCAGCCCTGCCCTGCCTGGCCATGGGGCCCTGATCCAGGCCGGCGCAAAT